ATGTAACTTTAGAATGTTAACATGCTATGTATTGAATGTACAAATGTGAAGTATCTGTGGTTGCAGAAAAATGCAATGCCAACCTTTTTCTTGCGACTGGGCTGTATTTGTTTATAGCAACAAAGTTTTTTTTCACATTTTAAGGCCCTTAATTACAACCAAATCTATATGTATTTCAGCAATAAATATATTTTTTTAACTGAATTACAAAAATCAAGCTTAATCTATCAACAACTATTTTGACAGTAGATTACTTGTTATAATTGTACAACACCTGCTTATTCCAGCATTCTTTTCACACATTTTCCAGCATTTTCCAGTGCAACAAATTATATGATTCACCACAAAAATAATCTTCAGATTAATTTAATACGCTAATTAAAATGCACTATAAAAATTGCAGCCCTCCCGAAATCATCTAAATACAACAAAAAGCTGCACAGTCTCAAGGCTTCATTGTAGGCCATGCATTTATGTGACAGATGTAGCACTTACACCAAAGTCAAATAGTTGTTACCAACCACGTAAACATTAAATAGGTTACTCCAACTTATGTCAAGAGCTGCAACTGAATATTATCTTCAGTATCAATGAATTATTTCCTGTATGATGGAGGGGAGTGCTCTCTCACTGTACAAAACACAAGTCCAGCTGCTGAAAACATCGGTTTTCTCAGGTAGAACAGACAGTGTGGCGATAAATACCATCCAGACAACTTCCACCAGTAAACTGGATTTACAGACAAACAGGAGGAACGTTGCTTCTAAAGTTCATGACTTTTATTTTTAACGTTTGCTCTGTTAGCATCAGTGGTGCTCTCTGCTGTCTGACATACTAATAAAGACAATGCTTACATGCAAATGTTTTGGTATGTTTACCATGTTAGCATGCTAACATTAGCTAATCATCAGTAAACACAAGGTCCCGCTGAGGCTGCTGGGAATGTCATTAGTTCTGTAGGTATCTGGTTATAAAGGAGCAGATGCATTAAAATATTGACCTGATGATGGTGCTGGAGGACAAGTCAGTGGATCACCAAGGTTATTACAGTTCCTCCTGAAGGGAACATGAATGTCACAATCCATCCAATAATGGATCCTTGTTTAGAAATGTTGATAGCGTAGTTCTTTGAAATATTGCAGTAGTATTATTATGTCTGTATGTGCAGTGTATTTACAGTGTAACTGTGCCTCAGAGGATGCAGTGGGTCCATGAAACATTTAAACAACAGCATAATTATCTCAAAACACGGGTTATTTATTATGTACTTTCTGTTATTCTTACAATAATGACATGCATTATGTTGGAATGACAAGACTATGTTTAGTTGAACGCAAGTATCATGACAATAAAGCAGAAAATCCTTATAGAAGATAGAACCAGGGAAGTTTTAATTCACTGAAAAAGCGATAAATTGTTTCAGCCATAAATTAGTGGTGGGTCTTCCACTAGGGGGCGCAGGCGGCTGCCTAGGAATTGACAAAACATAAGGGAAAGATAACACTAAAATCTAACACCAATGCTTGGCCTGAATTAAGAGTACCACCTCTACTTCCAGCAATGCAGTTAATGTTAATATGTTCATTAGCGAGTGATCACCACAGTTGGAACATGATGGAGCACTGATGGGTGTGGTGGAGTGGAGTTTACTTGAAGAGCATTAGAGTAAGAGAAAATGAATAAGAAAAAGCCATCTGGGGCGCAGTACAGAAAAAAGAAAAATAAGAAAGACGAAATCTGCAAATTTGTATATACCAAATTGATTTGTTTGTTAGCTATGTTGTTGATTTCTCATTAGTTCTTGTTTGTAATATTAATAATAATGATAATTTTGGTGGGGGTGGGGGGGCTTGCCTAGGCTGCTGAATGTGCCAGGTCCGGCACTGGCCTGAATCAAATCATTCCTATAAAAAATACCAGAAGCCATGACATGAAATCTCTGAGCTCAGTCACATCAACACTTCTTTCCAAAGACTAATTAAACAGTTAATTTGTCAGGTTACAAAAATGTAAAATATATAAATTATAAATAGGCCTACATGAGTGTTCTCAAATGTCACTGCAAGTTCAACATATTTTAATCTTTTGACTGTAGGTTTGTCAAAATATGGAATTTAAAGTCATTTGTAATGTCAACCTCACTTTTTTGTACATGAAAATACGTCTTTTTTTTAAAAAAAAAATATTATATACATTTATACACAATATATTGAGCACATTTATGCTTATTTAGGCTTTTGTGGGCAAAGAAATTATAAACTGATCCTAAAAATTGGTTATTTTGTGTGGGGAAAATAAACAATATTGTTTCTGGTAACTTTAAATCAGTATGCATGTCAATATTGGATATTTCAAATACCAATAAATTGATCAGAATCGATCGATCTTACCTTCTCAGCCGGGGCTGGAGGTTGTGGCCGCGGGGAGGCTTCAGGTTCGGATCGGAGCTGCTGTCCCAGAGCTCTGGACGGAGGGATCTCGTCCCCGTAGCCGACTTTGGGCTTCTTGCTCTCGGCTGAGGAGGAGGCGGCGGGCTTCTTGCTCAGAAACGATGCAGCGAAATAAATCGCAACGACAGTGAAAATGATCGCGGGGATGACGAAGGTCGGGTCCAGATCCATGATGGAGGGTTTATGGATGAAAAGTTAAAAAGTTAAAAAGTTAAAATGCGTGTTTAGGAGTGTGTGTGTGTTTAGTGTGTGTGTGTGCTGGGGGAGGAGGACGGTGTGTGTTAAAGGCTGCAGTCACACACACACTGAGCTGCATCCCGCCTCCCAACACAATCTAACTTCAACAGCTGACCAGACACAACAGCTGACATCATACACTGAGACACTTCCGGATTAGTTTCAAAATAAAAGCCTTTACAGGATATTGATGTATTGACAGTTTTTAGAATACAATATCAGAGTGTGTATGACAAGTATTTGACGTATTTGCACTTTATCTTTCATATCATGGCACTTGGACTCCACTACATAATTTTACTGCACTACATTTATCATTTTTACACACAAAATATAAGCGTTTATAAAGCATAGTTTTAATTAAACTACCCAACAGGTTATACAGGTAAAGCTAAAACAATTAGTCAATTAATAAATGCGTCAACTGAAAGAAAATTAACTGCCAATTAATTTAATAAATGAGATAAAATGAGAATTTGAAGAGAACTGATTATAGTTTTAAAGTTGTGAACTTGATCCCAACAAAGAGCTGTTTTCCCCATCATTCAGGATTTTCAGGTCTACTGCAACAGCCGGTCTGATGAAGTGGGACTGTGAGCTTCAGTACATCTTAAAGTAAAGACAGTATATCACCTCTTCTCAGGGTTTCTTTGCATTTTCCATTTCAGGATTACATACTTTTCCAGACTCAAATTTCCATGCGCTAGGACAGATTTTTCAAAAACATATTTGACATCAGGGTACAAACAGCTAGATGTTTACTGAGTAAATAAATGGTTTTAAAATCCAAATATGTATGCTATCATGTTGCCAAATAATTGTCAGAAGATTGTAGGAGGGTACTGTAGCTCATACAAATCCATTTACACCAAAGCCTTTGAAGTGAAATGCACATCAGAGGATGATGTGACAAGATGACAGTGCTTTTGCCCTTCTGGCTTACTATGGCTGCCTGTCCAATGTTGGAGATGACAAACAACTTTACACAAAGTTTGCTTCTAACTTTCTTATCCAGTTTGGAATCCTTTGTCAACTAAGCTTTATGTTTGGAACTGTCAGGCTAGCCCTTAGAAAACTTGCATTTACCTATTTCAGTCCTTCCAGACAGGCCTCTGAAAGAAGCTGGATGACATTTCACTGTTAAACATCTCAGCCCAAAGGAGAATAAACTAACTGATACTACCTATAAAATATAGTTTTTTAAATGAGTTAACTAATTTAATTTTCAGTGTCAGAGCAGCTTTGTTTATTCAGTGTCCATGGAAACAACAATGAACGCAGCCATAAAGGTTTCCTTAGGCAGAAAAGATAGTGTTTACTTTCCTGACATCACTGCATCACTTATACATGTGAGATGAACTTAATATTTGTTAAGTAGTGATGCTAGGTTTCAAAGATATCGCCCGCATTGTCTTTCAAACTTATTTGGTCGCAGATGTCTGAATTTGGTTCAGTTATAAAGCACAGGCAAGAGAAGTGACTGTGATGTTGAGGCAACTTTGTGTAGGAAGGTTTGTTCAGTTGCGTCAAACTTCTTGCCTGGCCTGGTAAGAACATCCTGATGATGTGAGCTCAACACTGTTTCACCCTCTCTATCAGTCTGGCCCTACTGCCACCACATACACTTTCCAAAAATTAAAATCCAAAATCCAGAATAAATCCAAAATAGAGTCAATAACATCTAAACAAAAACAAGGGTATGCACTTGCAAATTTTCGCTGACTGGATCTTGCAAAAATTTGGTTTATCCACTGGCTTTGTTGGTGATGAAGATGTTCCCCAATGCTTTGTTACTCTGGCTGAAGGAGTTCGTCAAGTTGAGAACTCCTGCAAGTCCAGACTGATACAGAGAGTGAAACAGAATTTAGATCTCATGTCATTAGGATGGTCTTACCAGGCTACTCCTCGCTTTTCTTATGAAGACATCAAGTGTGCTTTGGCCAGGAATCTCACAGTGGTAAACATTCTGGCTGCGCTTGCTGCCTGCTCTGAACACCATGATAAACGCTCTCCTTGTGTGATCAATTTCTTTTTAGAAATTCAGAATTTTATGTTATTTTAATTACTGGTTCATAATATTATTCATTTTCAAGCATAAATTGTGAAAAACTGCTACAGATTTCAGCTCTTCTCAGATGTGAGGATTTAGTCTTTGTCATATATCACAATAAGCTGAGTATCTTTGGACTTTGGTCAGAAAGCAAAACATCTGAAGACGTCACTTTGGGCTCTGTGGAGTTTTGAGATTTACTGATATTTTATAGACAAAAAGACACTGGTTAAAAATAACAAATGACTGAGTAGACAAACATGTTTTGAGTCATAGAAAAGATTTTATTGATCAAAAATGAAATTTATCACATCAGGGGCTGTCTGAGTGTGAAGAGGCTCCTCAGATACACTTCATCAACATTTAACCTACAGGATGGGGGGGGGGGGACGACACTATGTGACCGACCTCAGAGACCAACACAGTGCCTTAAATTAGTTTAAGAACAGATAAAAACACATAAACCTCCCCAACAGTCACACTAACAAGCTTCTTTATAGGCACTTTAAGTCTAAAGCAACAGATCCATATCAGCTGCACACATACAGCAAGTTACGTCATCTGGAGAACTTTACAGTTCATTATACGCAACTCAGGCTTTTAGTAAGGGCTGCACAAAGCTTCAGTAAGAATTGTGGATCAACAGAAGACCTATTAGCAGCTATTCTGGTAAATTATTAATTATTTAAGACATTTTTAGAGCAAAAAAGTGAGAATTTTCTGTTTTCTATCACAGTAAACTGAATATATTAGGTTTTAGTCTGTTGGTTGGTCAAAATGGGACATTTGAAAATACATATTTTACTTATCTCTGATGTTAAATCAACCAGTTAATCAAGATATAATGTTCATTTTCATTATCAACTGTAACAATGGGTTCACGACCATTACTGTCAGATGAGCTCAGATACTCCTTCGGGTGGTGTGCAGGTGTTTCCTATTTCCTATGGCTATTAAAAGCTGATGGTTTAACTTGCAATCCTGTTTCGGTGTTATTTGATTCCTAAATACAAATATGTGGATATTTTACCGAATCATAACTGCTATTTTTTCAGTTATCCTTCCATGTTCCTCCTGGTAACCTCTGGGATAAAAGTACAAGTCGCTCTGGTCGTTCAGGGGGAAATCACTGGTCTTTAAAATGTCAGCAGTAGGAAAAAGTTCCCATCATATGTCTCATTTTGTTTGACCAACAGTGCAAAACCCATTATCATTCAGTTAAATATCACAGAAGAGGAAGAAAACAAAAAAATAGTTACATTTAAGAAGCAGCAAGATATTTTTTCCCCACATTTGCTTTAAAAACTAAATGACAAATGAATCGGCAGCTGTTGATTTCTAGTTTGTTGACCAATTTATGTTTCAGCTCTAATTGGCAAATTAATCATTGATAAAAATATTTATTAGTTGATGTTTGACTCCGTGTTGAACAAACAGGCTCTGCCACATCTACAGTAAATCAGTGATTAGTTGCTCATTGAATCACTCACTCTTCTTCTACTGAAAGCTCAGCTGAACCTCGACAAGATGCACGACCTGATTAATAAATGCTAATAAACTCTGTTCATTCTGAAACACACCTGCCTTATCAGACTCCAAAACCATCTGTTACATCCACTGGATTTAAAAAAAAAGCAGCAGTGTGCCTAGTGCCCTCTGCTGTCATTTATTACAACTACAAACTCAATCTGACTCCACATTAAGCCAGCCTCCTGTGCCTCTGGACAGTTTCTCTCATTTGCTGCGTTTTGGCACAAAGCAGGCAGAATATCAAAGTGAAGGCCGAGCTGCTGCAACACAACCTTCAGTCTCTGGTATTTAATACAGCGTAACTCTGAATCCATGCTTTTACATGCATGTGTTTTCTTTAACTCTTCTATTTCTTTAAGGCTAGATGACTAAAGTGACACTTCCAGCATGAAGTTAAATCACCATCATTTTTAAATGACATTTGGTGGTGAGTTTTCATTTTGAATGGTCATTATTGGACACCAATCTATGGACTCCTAAAGACGACTTGGGCCTCTAGTTTCACCACGGTTACTCGCCTGGAAAGATGAGCTAACAATCATGAACCTCCCCAGTTACAGAGAAAAGCTCACTGACAACCATCAGTCTGTAGACAAATTAGCATTCACCTCCAGCTACACACCCTGAAATATGAAGAAAATGTGTCAACTGTACTGTCTTAGTGTTTTAAAGTAGCTTATGTAAACTACTTCAAATTATGTGTGCATTACAACAAAACAGTGTGTTGATTTTTTCCCCAGTGTGTCTCAGTATTTTCAATTAGCACATAAAAAGAACAAAACGATAACACAAAATTCGAATGTAGCCATTTTACACATGTGAAAATAGAGGCCCAAGTTTAACATATATTCTAAATGTACAGAGATGTGTAAGTACTGCTGCAGCGACACAGGGTGTTAAACTACAGACACTGTTGATTTTCAGCTCTTCTGGTGGCTGAGTTTCATGTTTACAGTTACAGACGCCCCTCAGAAATATTCCCATCCCTTCATTTCTCAACAGGCTCACATCACAACACAGCTCAGAGACTCAAAGAAGCTCAAAGCCCACAAGTTCCCAGTTTCACCATACTCCCCAGTCCGGTTATGGGCTATAATCTCTCTTCATGTCCTCACACTACAGACGCTACAGACACAAACAAATATTGATTGAAAGCACAGTGGTGACAGGTCTCCAGTGGATCCTCCTCCTAAATCTAACAACGCTTTTCACTGAGGGGTTTAGACATTTACCTAAACTAGACAGGAAGCAGCTGTTTCTGTGTTCATGAGCGAAGGAGTCACCAGCTGGAGGTGGGTGGAGGCAGGACGGAGGTGGCCGGAGGTCACCGTGACGAGCTCCTCTCCTTGCTGACGCAGTCGTCCTGGCTGCTGGTGTCACCATTGGCCGCCGTCCCGCAGGTCCGTCTCTTCTTCCTGCGGTGGGACATGGCGTCCCCCTCAGAGCCTGATGCTGCCTGCAGGAGGACAACGTGTTCAGACACACTGATAAACATGTTACATGTGTATTATGTTACAGGCGTCACATGTGAGCACCTGCTGGCTGCTTCACACTGACACATGTGATCCTGACATTGACGATTTACATAAGCAGGGACTGTAACAGTGCGTTCATACTGGTTTGCAAGGAGCTGGTAAGTTAAGCTCTGGAATTTTGCACAATTTCAATATAACAACTGTACCGTTTAATAGTGAACTTTTTGGGAGGAAAAGACATGGAAAAAAAGGAGAGTTTAAGGCACATTTTGGTTAAAAGTATGCCCATGTAATTAAACTGTAACTATGCACTGCACTCAGCAATGAACTCACTACTGTCTGAGTCAAAGGAGTACATGCTTTCAGGGAAGGTTTCATTACATTACTACAGTAATTTTTACACTTCTACTGGAATATAATGCGATAATGTTTGCTTATGATATGATAGAAGGTTCTATCTGGATGTGACATAAAGACGGAGCTTAATGCATCATACTCTGAATACTCTACATACTCTGAAAGCCGTGCCCATCGGATGGAAAACCAATTAGAAAAAGTTTCTTGACAAACTCAATATTATCGGTCTATCTCAGTGTCACTTCTCCTGACATTGTTTATCTTGGAGAAATGATCCCACTAAATGGCCAGAAGTAAAATACTTTGATATTTACAACAACTGGATCGTACTGGCGGGTAAGATTATCAGTTACCCTAACAAAGATCAAAACCAGGCTTTGCAGAGCTCTGTTAGCTTCAACCTCTACACTGTGTCTTGCCAGATTACCCACTTCAACTTCGGGTGTTTTCACATACAGTCCTTTTTAAACAAACCAAACTCAGTCCTCTTGAGGTGCACCAAAAAAAAAGTGGACCAACATAAAAGGGACTCAGTCCTTTCTGAGTTCACATTGTCAGTTCATTTGAAAGAGGACTCAGTTCGCTTTCTGGACAACTTCAGCTCTGATGGGGCCTCATTTCTTTTTCTGTTCACACTATAGCCTATACATAATATATATGTTGATGTAGATATGTTTTTACTTGGATGTGGCACTGCAGTGTCACGAAGCCCCTCACTTTCAGATGAACTTAAAATTGGAGGGAAACCTTAGTGTTTCTGTGCTGTAGACTGTTCCTGTTTGATGTATTCTGCATTCCACATCTGGAGATGTACAGTATCCTCTGTGCACCAAACTACTCCTTGTTCTGTGTCTTTGCAAGCGTGACAGAATGATGTAGTTTTGTCTGTTTTTTCAAGCGTCCCAGTGCAATAGCATGTGATCTAGAGGGCTAAATACAGTGGCAAAGAGCAAAGCAAACCTGGAGTGCTTTGTGTTCACAGTGCACATGTTAAGCCAACCGCACGGCAGGCTTGAAGCGAACTTGAAGCGAACCTCGCTTCAGAGAGGTCTGAGTCCTCTTGGAGTATTCTCATATGTGCAAAAATGCTGGGTCACTGTTCTGAGTCTGTTTAAAGGTCTGAAAGGGACCAAGTGTGAAAACACCCTTATTTAATAATAATCAAGGCACAGAGCCCCAACTTTATTAAGTTTCACCCCCAATATAACATCCACTTTTGCCTTTTTAAAGGCTCAGTTTTTTGAGTCAGCAGCTTATGAAAACTTAGTTCTGGATTAATTATCCTGTTTGCATTCTCAGAACCCATCAGCTGTATTCGGCGTCTGACTTCTGGCAGACGGCTGGAACTAATTGTGCCCTGTCTCTATGGTAAATACGGCCTAAACAAATAACCCTATTGTTACATTTCATTCCTGTTACTTCCCATTAATTCCCACAAAATTCTTGTTAATTCCCATGTAAAGTTTCCACCTTGAACATTGCAAGGTGCAAATTTTGCAACCTTAGTTCAGACTCAAATGTCAGCAGAACTTTATCTCTCTCACACAACAGAAGTCACTATGTCTTACTTCAACTTTTGACTCTTTGATTTGCTGCTCCATAACAATGACTGTCAGTTCTAATTAAATGAAAGACGGCTAACATTCCCTCTTCCAGGTGTCCACGGGGGAAAGGAGGTCAAGTCAATTACAGAGAACAGTAAGTTGTCAAACAAAAGCCGCGTTGAGTTTGTGCCCACAATTCAAACTGTAAAACATACTTTAATAAAATGTTAAGTTTGTATGTATTTACACAAGAAATGGAGCAGCCAAACATGGTCCTAGTTTTACTCCTAAAGGTGTGATAGTGATAGAGATCAGTAGGGCGATCCATTCTGATTGATCTATAATCAAAGGATGTGTGTGCTCTATTGATTACTTTAAGTCTCTACGGAGGTGATGTAATTATGTAGAGATAACTACTGCAATGAAAAGGTTTGAAATTACTGTGTTGTTTCATCTCAGTGTTTTATTGTTAGTATTGTGGAGTCTCATGGTGTGTGTGTGTGTGTATGTGTGTGCGCGCGCGCGCGCAAGATAAACTGAAATGTCAACCCAGCTTTACATGATATGACAGTATGTCTCACTGTATGCAGTCTTGAAACCAAAACCCTCATAAATTACATGGATACCTTAGTGTGTGTTTATGTTTGTGTGTGTTTAAGCACATACATCAGAGTCAGAGTCGGACGAGCTGGAGGATGATGATGATGAAGAGTCGCTAGAGCTGTCTGATGCGATGCCCGTCGACTCCTGAAGGTCCACTTTGTCAGCCAGCGCTGCCAGGTCTGGCCTCTCCTGTTTTAAGATTCTGGAACAACCAGGAAGAAAACACACACTCTGAGAAAGTAAATCAAAACTATCAAACATTTCTTTGTAATTACAAGGTTTTCTGAGTACAATGACATCTGCATTTACACGTTTTACCTTAGAAAGATACCACATTATCAACACGTTACATGTTCATAACAGGCTGAGATGAGATCTAATAACTTAGCTACAGAGAAACGTTAGAAAACAAAATCAAGCTGTAAAACATTCACAAATTCTATTAAGATCTACTATAAATATGTATTCAAACCACACCTCTATGTATTGAATCTGCATGTAATGTTTTATTAATGACATAACTTGTCCTTATAACTACACTAAAATGCCAACCTTTAGACACATTTTAGTCTTTTACAAATATGTACTGTGGAGATCTCATGCAGTAAAATGTAAAATGGTGTACTGAGGCTTTAGCATTTAGATTTGTTGTTTTGAAGCATCACTGTCCTGATACACAAGTTTCTGTCACTTTAACAGAACTCCCTTGTCCTGTAGTGGACAGATACATGTCTTTATTCTCACTTACAATGTATTTCAAATGTGATTGACTAAAACAACTTAATCAATTTCCCAAAGAGCGCAGGTAATGAAATTGTGAATTTAATAAAAAGGGGTTAAAAAACGTAAGAAAAGCATCTCACTGTGAATTAATCCAAAAACTGACATTGCATACAGAAAAAGCCATCACTGTGATTACAGCCTTACATAGCCTCAAAATTCAGTTTATTTCAGTTTAGACTTTTTCCTGCATTTGGAAGACTGGCAGATGTCCTTGGATGTGTCTAATCTCTGGTGTATACTACTAAAAGTCTTCAGTGATCTACTCAGTGTGTTTCTGATGTGAAAGCGATGTTGAATCCTTACCGGTACCACTTCCTGGAGAGTTTGGGTCGCCCTCGGACAGTTTTGTGCCACACGATGGGAAAGTTGGTCGTGCTGGCAAAGTTCTGAGTGACGGCGATTGTTGTGTCCAGGTTGAGGACCACGTGCCACCAACCGCCTGTGGACACATGGCTAGTTACCATTAACAACAGAAACAAACAAAACAAGCCGCTGCTTTGCTTCATTTGTCATCTACAACTGCAACTAAATCATCATTTTCAGACTGCTGACATGTTGTGTGGCTGCTTGTTATCCTACTATCCTACTATTAAACGGAGAAACCTCTGTCCCTCCGTCCGTCTGTCTGTCATCATCCGTTTTCCTCCTCACTGCTTTGACCTACTTCAATAAAGTCCTGAACCGTGTTAAGTTATGATACACTACAAAGCAAGGAAAAAAAACTAGTAAAACGAATCTTGTGAACAATCTATGAAATATTTTAGGATGGTATGGAGCTAGAACAGTGACAGTAAGTTTTGGCAACAAAAATAAAATTTGGCATTAAAAAAGGAAACACTGGCACTGAAAAAGTTTGAGTGACAAATGAAACATGCAGGCATTCAAAATTATATTATTTCATCTAGCTATTTTTGCATTCTCAGAGGTTTTTCATTGACAATCTTCAGATTTTGACTGTCACTTTTTTCAGTGTCAGGTTTTTCTTTTCTTTTTTTTATCAGTTTAAACTTTTTTGTTTTGACGTGAAGGTAGGGCTGTTGCAATAACTGCAATTGCATTAATGCCCCTTTGACAAGCCAACCACGTTGGATGGCAAGCAACTGCCACAACGGCTTAGATTATGTTTTTTTCCCATTTCATGGGGCTAGGTCTTTGTTTAAGACTTCAATGTGCCAAGGCAGTAAGGGACTATTCTGCGCTGAGCGTTGCATGTTTGAGTTTTTCTACTTGTTGCCAAGAGTTAAGAAAATGTTTGGGTAAAATGCTGCAGCTGCTCATCACTGTCAGTTCTTACCCAGCCATGCATGGAGGATGGGCGGCACAAATAGCCTACCACAAAGAACAACTGTCACATCCCTGAACAACGCCAATGGAGGAGATATTAATACTGAATGTAACTCCATGTAACTCTACATATCTTCAGTGGATTTAAAACAATGTCAGGAATTGTATGCTAGACCTGTGGTGATGCTGGAGGCTAAGGAGCGGACTGTGGGTCCAGAGGAGTGACATTTTCTAGTATGCCCTCAAACCACTTCTGTCCATGCGAAACCAGTAAAACTTGAAATAAAAAAAAAAAAAACACCACTGACACTAAAAAATGTCATGAAGGAAAAAAAAAAGCTTGACTGGAACAGAAAAAACCCCATCAGAATAAAACAGTTTTTGATATGTCTGTGTTAATTTTTCAGTGGAGAATTCTTCAGTGCCAATGTTTCTTTTTTAAAGCAAAATTTTATTTTGATGCCAAAACTGTCTGACTGAAGCTGTCTAAAGCTGTGTGGGTCAAATTATATTGTTGACTAAGCAAGAGGATAATATACACCACAACAGTCAGTCAACAGACATCACACACAGATTGTTGTTGTCTGTGGGTTAATCTACAGACAGACAGGTGAAGTCTATATCCTGGGTTTAATCCAGCTCTAGCATTAGATGAATTTAGGTCACATTGGTTTCACTGTGTTGATACACAAAGATATCTAAACTGTCAACACACTAGGGGTGTAACAGCTCTGATACAGAGATCGAAATCACAACACAAATGTACATGGTCCCCATGTCGCCATACATTCCTTCCAGTTAATCTTTCATTCATATAAGATCAAGGTGTAAGAAACTTCATTAGGACATCCCTACTTCTTAGTACGATCAGTTCATTGTTGGGTTGTGTGTTATGGGATTTGTTGACAAGAAGAAAAAAAGGTTATTTCCAGACTCTAGTTAGCTCTAAGGACTTTGGTAAAACAATATTTCATTCAGAAATCTTTTCTCAGAGGAATCACAGACAGTTGAAAACCTGGTGGAGGATTGATAGGATTTAGAAAAAGTTTCTTCACTGACCAGGCACAAAAACGGTCTCCCCAGGTTTTTGGAGGATCTCCAGCGGTGCGAACTCTGGAGGCCAGTTCGGCTGCTGCGTTCGAGGATAAACCACGTTGAACCAGGTGATAGCCTCATCCTGCTGGTTGCCACCATCCTCTCTGGTCACCTTGATCAGCTCCCGGGGTGTGTTGGTGGGGAAAAGACACCACCTCTTGTGTCCTTGAACGAGGGCGTTCCAGGCGCTGGTGCCCAGTGGATCGATATGGATGCCGGTGCCAGAGCGGGCCGGGCCCATTACAAACCACCTGTGAGGGGACCAGAGGACAAACCGGGTGAGTTCTAACATCATGTGTCACTGACACATCCCCCCCTTTTTCTTTTCACCACTAAAACTTGTTGACAGTTATCAAGTCTGTCAGATTGTATTTGCTCATTTTGTCCCTCTCAGTCTGATTATTTCATTCATTTTCTGTGTGTGTGTGTGTTGGTTCAAGCTCCCCACCCCAGGTTCGAACCAGGGACCCTCTTGCTTTGAGGCGTCAATGCTAAACACTACACCACTATGCCACCAGTCTGATTATTTGATATTTCTGTCTGCTAAGATAGAGCTGATTTTACCCGCTGAAAGTTTCTCATTTCTCTACAACTTATCAGGGAAAGGTAAACACAGGGATAATCGACAGAACAAGATAAATGCTTTATTTTGACAGTGCATTATGTTTATATTACTCCATAATTTACAAATCATTTCATTACTTTTGTGCACTACAGTGTTTCCCATACACCGATTTATTTGTGGCGGCCTGCCACAATATCAACATTGAACGCTGCAGATTAATTATTTCTTTTTATTTTTTTTACTGAGACCAGCAGCTCTGTAGCTCACTCTGTCAGTTGGTCTGGTGGTCGAATGGTTGGCTCACAAAATTCAAAAACACCCTTGGCAGCCACAGTTTTTGCCTTAGGAGGCTGAAATTTGGTCAAGCGTGTGTATGTATGTGTGTGTGTGTGTGTGTGTGTGTGTTCATGCCAATTGGCTCAAAGGGGGCATGGCAATGCATGCAGCATTTTTGAATCTGTGCTTGTTTTTTTTTTTACTATTTAAAATCTGATAGTCAATTAAATACATTATTAAAAATGGCTGTGATGCAACTGCCTCTCTCTAGCCCGTTTCAAACATGCACTGCAAACCTGACATCATCTAGACATTACCTGAAGTACCTGTATGTGAGAATGCAAATGTCCGAATCAGTTGGATTGGACATTAAATCGTACATTACCCACCCAGCTCCCTAGTACAAAGTCCGTGGATATCCGATTGAGCCCATGTTTGAATAGAGCAGGTGATTGTCTGGAAAATAAACAGCAAGTGACTGGGCGTTCTGATGATGTTTTTATCATGTGACTGACGCGAAACTGGAAGAGATAATGAAATTCAGGAGCTGTTAATGACCAAATTACGAACCGGCTACGTGACTGTGGTGTAATCCATGTCACATCCTACCTCCTGCACGCTCTACCCAGGCGCTACCTTACCACTAAACCAAATGGAGTACTTCTAGTGGGAGACATCACTCTGTAGCCTCGATCTGATTGGTTACACATCATGAGTAATAGCCTATCAATACTGAAGGCTGCCATGTCACACATGGACAAAGACAAATGCACATTGGAGCTGCTCTGGTGAGTGAGCAGAACTGTGTGTTGAAGGAAAGGCAGCAGACATCACTAATGTTGTCATAAACATCATGATCCTCTATGCTGAAGTTGCAAAAACACGCAATCAGGGAAGGCAGAGAGCAATACATTTTGACCCAATAAATAATGAGTCTGCTGCTTTTATCATTAGAAAATAAATATCTTTATGTTTTGACAAATAAGACACATGAAGACATTTGGGCTGCCCTTTGAAAGTTGAAGATTTAAATCATCAGTCAGAGACCCCTCAATCAACTGAGCCTGCTTAACGTCAAGTAGTTTATTTATTTGGCTTAAAGTGTACTTCTGGGGATGTTGGGGTCCCCACATTTTGCTGCAGAGTGAGCGCGCTTGACTTTCATGCTACTCTTGGGTACAGACAGCTGCATACGTGATGCAGCAGCACAGAGGAGGAGAAACTTTCTACCGTAAGGCTCCGAGATAACAATATCTTCTCTCTTCTGCCTAGAATTTACAGCTCATAGATATCAAATATGACACTGTCTCTGGCTTTTGTTTGATATCTAGTGTCAACAAAAATGTTTCCATTTCGCCTCTTGCACATTTCCGATCTGTTGTTAGCGCTGTTAGCATGTTTACTATATTACATGAATGCCGCTGTCACACTGAACGTCCCACTGAACCCTGCTAAAACTTTAAAAGTTAATATGGGGGAAAAATAAATAAATAAATAAATTGTTGAACATTCCTGAAAATATTCTGAGCTGGGTGCAGCCTTAGAAGAAATTACCAACCTTTCACATTTTTTTAACCTCTTATACACTTAACAATTAATTGATTAGATTAATAGATTCATGTTAAATGAAATGATTAATTAGCCCTAAGTTACTGTTATCATTTAACAGCTACGTCATTAAAAACCGCCCTGTAGAGTTTTGTTGTAAACAAATAAAAGTGCACTGCTCCCCTCATAAAACATTTACAAAAGTCAATTTTTTAAAGTATTTCAAATCTAGCAGTAGCTCCGGGGTGCTCATGGGGGTCTAAAACTCCACAGAGAAACTTTATTTAGCTGAAAAGTTTAATTCACAAAGATCAAACCTGTATGGTGGTCTGCGCTTCTCTCCTGCAAACTGGAACAGGTCATCCCTGAAGAAGATGGGCACCTGGTAGTCCTCCAGCAGCTTCCTGCGTTTGGCATGTTCGCCGTAGCTGCTGTCGAAGATGTAGAGCGGGCTGTCATCCCTGGTAGTCTCCAGATACTCCATGTAGTACTTCATCTTCATCTTCACTGAGTATCCATCGTTGTCCTCTCCACACTTAAATTTTTGGTTGCGGTATTTGCGTTTGAGGCGCTCCAAAGTCCATTTCTCCTGAGCCGGCCAGTTCTCCTGGGCATTGAGCAGGACAACAGGCTTGTAGGGCCGCTCGAAACGCTGGATGAACTCTTCAGGAGTAAGATGTCGGGCATCCACACGCTCAACGTTGTCCTGTACACAGCATTTATCAGTTTAGTGTTGTGAAGGCATTTCCAAAGTTCTCTTTTGTCCATCTGAATGACAAAATAATCTGTCTGTTACACTATAAGCCTTTTAACCTAACATATGCCTAATCTTTGAGCAAAGACATGTCCATCTGTTTCTATTTGGATTAGGAAATGGAGTTGTAGCTTCAGAACAGCTGTGCTGTACAAAAATGGAAACGTATTTATCTTTCTGAAGACTTTAAATATAAACTGGGGCTGATATCAGGACACAAAGCAAAGGGTGTGTGTAAATGAAGAACACACTCCTGTGTTGAGGAATGCAGGTCAGTGCTGTGACACAACTCTTTTGTAAATTAAGGGCACTCCCAAACAAACTGTGGCACAACATAACACATCAGCTATGGCTACACCTCAACTCACTTTACTGAGAATGAGAGTTTCTTCTAATGTTACATCCTTTAAATAACTGCAGCTCTCCATTTTGTTTTTCTGTGACTGTTCACGCTCCTGTTAATATTAGTGACAGACCACTCACAGCTACAGGTGCTGACTTCATGCAGGTCTGCAGCCCGGTTGCGAACCCTGTTCTATAAAGGATAACTTCACAATCTGAACATTCAAAAGGTGTTACTTGTTGTATTCATTCCCCTTGTTCATATTGACCATTAAGAGATCAGTGGTGGAATGTAACTTTACTTAAACATTGTACTTAAGTACAAATCTGAGGTACTCAGCAGGAATATCTGTACCTCTTACTGCACTACATTTAACTGACAACTTTATTTTGCAAATTAAGATGTTTACACATAAAGCATAAGAAGAGTTGATAAAATATGCTTTGTTAGATATTACACTCCCCACAAATGTGAAGATTTGCTGCTTTTCCTATTACTAACTGTAATACGTGTCATGTATCAGTAATACTGCTGAGGTCTGAGATGTTGGTTGGATAAAACAAACACTGTGAAGGTGTCACTTTGGGCTCTGAGTAAATTCACATTTTTCTCGCTATTTTCCCAAACCAAACAATTAACTGATAAACTGAGAAAACAGTCAGTTGATTAATCCATAATGAAAATCATTGGTTATTAGGTCAAAATGAGCTCCATCTCAACCAACTAGAATATTACAATCCTGCTTTTACTTTAATGTAGCAGTTATCATATTCTAATGACATAATATATAAGAGTATGACAGTCGGAAAACGTTTTTATACTTTAATTTATTTTCTAATAATACTTAAATATTTATATTGAAGTAACAATTTCAATGCAGGACATTACATGTAACAGTGTTTTCACAGTGTGGTATGAGTATCGTTACTTAGTTCAAGAATACGATTACTTCAACCACCACTGCATATTGGTAGTGTTAAGCTATGTGAAAAACAGATACTAACGTCTTCAATGTAACGTATAATATACAAACCATATTAGAGCTGTTAACATTAAGTGTGTTGAAAAAGTAAGATAAAAGTGGTCGGAGCCTAAAATTAAACTAATCATATCACAGGACTCAGGGTATCACCGGCTCGGTGTCTACGTGACAAGCTGCACTCATGCTGCAAGTTGCGGTTAGCTCATGTTAGCTTAGCTTCAAAAGCTACATTGCCAATTACCTTCACGGTGCGTTGTGACACGTCAAAAGTCTGGTGATAGTCGTGTTTTATCCAGTCTATTGAATCCTTCAGTTCGGGTCTGGCGCTCCGTTTCGCCTCTTTAATCCTCTTCTTACTTTTATGGTTCATTCCTCCTCTGAGTGTTACCGCTGCTCAGCTAGCTATCGAGCTAACACGGGGGCTACTACAGATACACATTCACTAGCCTGATCTGATACCCGGCTAGCTGCGCTCTACCGACACTCTCACCTTATGTATTTGATAAGAAAAGAAACGTACAAGTCGGTTAATGTGTTAAACACGTTTTCAAATACGTACAAACAAATGTGAGAAGACTTAAGAAAGCTGCCCGCACTGAACAGTTTCATAAATAGCTAACAAGAAAGGCTTGCCTTGCTCAATGCTTAGGCAACTGATTGACAAACTGTAATGCCCGCCCCTTTTACAGAGTAGAACGTTAATTGGCTACAGTGTCCGCAAGAGCAAAACGTTGATTGGATGAAATGTAGAATAAGCCTTCCCGCCAGGCATTTACGCTGATTTGATTGGCTGTGAAAGCGTCCTTCTTGTGTTGTGGTCGATGCGGAAATAGACATCTGTAAGCATGGCAGCTCTTAATAACCTATCAATACAAATATAAATGAAATTGCTTTCTACGAATTTTTCATAATAGGCGATGCAATTATGTGATTACATTTTTTACTTACCCGCATGATGGATCCAAGTGGAACCGAAACACCTTGCATAGCTTGCAAAGATTTCACGTTTGAAGACAAGAAAAACACACAGGAGTCACTTTCCGTTTCCATACCTGAGGTGTGTTTGAGTTTTTAAATATATCATTATAGTTCATGTACAGCAGTTCTTTATAGATTGCTTTGTGAAACTGACTTCAGCTTACGCCATAAATTAGTCGCCGTCCTGGTGCCATGTTGTGCTGTTATAGAATCAAGATGCTAACGCGTGAAAAATATGTGAATTTAATATAACAACGTTTATGTAAATGGTATGCACTGGTTAGAAGAACAAACACAGGGCGGGTATGGTACATTAGAGCCCTCCCCTTCATTCGGCATACATCCAGTAATAAGATGTGATTATTTAAATAAAATTTTACATATTTACATATTTTAACTTTAGACTCATGTCTTCAATTCGGCATACATTTAGTACCAAATTTGTCTTTTTATGATGAAAAAAACAAACTGAACTAATATGATTAGATTGCTTCAACAGAGCCACCAGTCAGAATACAATGCAAACACAATGTACAGTGAAACAACATAGTTCATGTTGGATGATGTAGAGCCAATCTTTAGAGGACTTTAAATAATCTGTTCAATTAATCAAATGTCTGTCTTAAACTAGTCTGGCACATTTGTGATATGATATGCAGGCATCATTAAAAAGATGAATATACGAGTTATGTTTTATTATTATTCACTATTTCTTGTTAACTAGCAGTTTATTTGTGTTCTGCACTCTTAGGTTCTTGATCCACAATATGGGATGTATGTGTGGCCCTGTGCAGTGGTGCTGGCTCAGTATCTATGGACACAAAGAGAAGAGCTGAGACACAAGACAGTGCTGGAGGTAAGAAGATCTGGAGAGATCTGAGGCTGAGTTGCCATCTTGGAAAAACCTTCTGAGGTCTCCCTCTCTCTCTCTCTCTCTCTCTCTCTCTCTCTCTCTCTTTACACAGCTTGGTGCAGGTGTGAGTCTACCAGGTGTGGTGGCTGCCAGGTGCGGTGCAAAGGTGATCTTGTCTGACAATGCTAAGACTCCACTGTGTCTGGAGAACTGCAGGCGCAGCTGTGAAGCCAATAGCCTCCATGATGTGGGAGTGTTGGGCATCACCTGGGGGGAAGTCTCACCTGATCTTGTTCTGCTTCCTAAACTGGACATCATCTTGGGATCGGACGTCTTCTATGAGCCACAGGGTTGGTTCCACATACTTGTGGCCTTGTAGTAAAATATGTCAACCTGAGTGACTAAACGTTTGTACCCTGTTTCAGATTTTGAAGATGTCCTCCTGACTGTTGTTTTTCTTCTAAGAAAAAACCCCAGAGCTCAGTTCTGGACCACATACCAAGAGAGAAGGTGCTGAAAAAATACAATCATATCACACTTTTTAAAATACATTTTGAATAAGTGCTGTACTTAAGTACAAATTTGAGATACTTGGAATTTACTTTTTTCATGCCACTTTATACCTCTACTCTACTTCATTTATCTGACAGCTTTAGTTTCTTACAAATTGAGATTTTTGCACACAAAACATATGAAGAGTTTATAGAATATGATGTTTCATTGTAAATTAAAATACCCAACAGTTTTTTAACCTTGACGTTTGTGGTTTGTATCACTGCCTGTGTTTTAACCTTCCAACTTCTCCTCTTCGGTTCTCAGTGCCGACTGGTCGATTGAAGCGTTGCTCCACAGGTGGAATCTGAACTGTGTCGACATTCAGCTGGAAACATTTGATGCAGATAAAGCTGAGCTGGCTGGATCGACTCTTCCAGGAAACAAAAGCATTCTCATGATGATCATCACACTGAAGACAGAGGATGTTGGACTGTAAAAGTTTCCCCGGAGGAAATTACAAGATGTTGATCACATTATCCAGACGGGTCTGTTTGACATCAAACTCAGAAAAAACTGAGACTAGTTGTGTCAACAGTGTTTAAATGTTGTGAGTGATTACAGGAATAAGAAAATGTCTTTATCATAGAAGAACGTAGAGAGAGTAATATAAGACATTATTAATAAACATGTGGGCCTGTAGTTCTAAAGAAAAGTCACATTTCATACATTTAATAAAAGTGTGTTTAAAAAAATCCTGATTAAAGTGTTTTGAATGGAAACTTGAGAATGTTATGAAATATCACCCTGCATGAGTATTTTAAACACTTATAGTTCAGTTTTTATTTGGCACATCTGCAACATTTATATTGTCTGTCTTAAATGGTGTATTTTCTCTTGTGACCACCAGAGAGCAGCATCTCATTAAACAACTGCAGAGCACTCATCAGCTCACATGTGACAGACATGTCAGAATGGTTTTCAGATACTTGTACTTTACTATTTCCATCTAATGCTACCTTATACTTATGTTTTACTATATTTCAGAGGGAAATATTGTACTTTATACTCCACTGCATTTAGTTAGCAGCTGCTGCCATATTTAACACACTGTTAAAGAAGGAACCAGTGTCCCCTTGTTATGTCTCAGAGGTCTATGAGTTACAAGTTTTACCAAAGAGACATTTCACCTCTAAATGTGTCACATCGTTTCTGTTCAGTAACTACCCATTAATTATCTCACAACCCCTCAGACAGCCTGTTCTCATTCCTAGGGTGTCAAATACAGCAGCTTGGTCAGTGGCCATTAGCATCTGATTCTGAAGCACAGGACACCTGTTAGCTTCTGTATGAGAGATACCGAGCTTTCAGCTAACTCAATTTAAACACATCTGCAACAATGACATAGTATAAAGAGTGAGAAAGTCGTGGGAGGTAGGGAAGGAGCAGTGGTGGATGGGTCAAACAAGCAAGAATTTTAGATTCTTACAGAAAATAACCTCTGTGGCAAACATAAGTTTATGATCCCTACACATTTGGTTCAGCAAGATAATCTTTACCACTTTCATGATTTGATTTGAAATGTAAATGCAATTATCAGAGGTAAAGAGCTAACGTTAGGCTATAAACGAACTAAACTACAGATGCATGACTTCAATTTTGCTACCACAATGAAGCTGTGAAGCCATGTTCACTGTGATGATGTACTTGTTAGCAACCATTTTTTATGACATTCAAAAGCCTTGAAATTCATGAGAGGGGTATTAACTGATGTATCTTGGGTGGTAGTGGGAACGTGTTACGTGATTTTGGAGATTTTTAAAGAAAATATGCCTTTCAAACCCACCTGCCAGTTTTGGGGTTCTGAGGATATTTAAAATAAATACATGACACGACTATTAAAGGTTGAATGGCACACCCCTGAGCCAAATCAAAAATCATACCTCCCTACCCAGTGCTCCCCCATTTTGCACCTACCCCTCCACTCTCATATTGCCTTTTTTTTTTATATATATATATATATATATATATATAATGAACAGGCCCTAATAAGGACACACAGAATCAGATATCAGTCACAGGAGACATTTTACTGCACATGTTCTATTACTGCATGAAGCTGAGAATACTTCTGTACTTACACTGCTGACAATTTTAGTAAACAGTACTGCTGTATTTAAGTAGGTGATGAAAAATATTTGCACTTTCAGACCAGCCTTTGTTTTGATGGACAAACAAACCCCCTCTGTAAATCTCCATTGTCTTTTTTAAAATGTATTTTATTACAGACACAGGTGACTGGAAACACACTCCATAAAACATAGGAGGCAAGTTTAGCGAAGTGGTTCCCAACCATGGGGTGGGGAACCTACAAAGGGTCACCAGATAAATCTGAGGTGTCTGGAAGTGTTTAATGTGAGAGAGAGGAAGAAGAAACTAAAATGATTCTTGAATCTGTTTTCAGTTTTTGCATTTTTCTCCTATCTTTAATTTTATTTTAAATTACTGGATCATTAGAACAGTCACACACACCCTATTTGATTTATTGACCTCTGTCAACAATGGTGTCTTTATGAGGTATCAGCTGGTTGGTTTGTTTGTTATATCTCAAATCATCACGAGTGGAGGCCAGGTCAGCGCCTGACATTCTGCTGACTCCTGTTATCTTAACAAGATAACCGACAATAAAATGGTGTTTACAAGAGTCGGTTTATTTAATTTTGAGGGTCAGCTGTCTGTCGTGTAACTCAGATGGCTGGCTGAATTTTTCGATGAAGTGTAACATTTGTGTTGAGTGTTTCAGGGAAAGGATGTTGAGGAATGATTTACTGTTCATTTTAAATTATAGCATCACTGCAATGTGTGCAGATGACACCACCATATACTGAGTCTTAAATAAGGCTTTAAAGCAGGGACGCTTTAGGGAAAATCTAGACTGGCGGTGCTGTCAGAGACTCACCCTACAGTGATGTTATATTAAATGTTAAACAAAATTTTGAATAGAATAATTTGAATCGAGCACTTATTAACAATAATTTAGCCCAATTTTATAGCATTATTAATAACAGTACAACAATAAAGCAAACTGTTGTGTAAAACAGCACACAGCAGGGGCTGACTCAGGGTGACTCAACAGCAAGTTTTCTTTGTGTCAGGATTGTCCTGAGGTTTCAGACAAGTTGAAGTCATTTTTCCTTGCTGTAAGACGTGGTTGTTTATCTGTTTGTGGGGTTAACTCCCTATTAATAGACATAGTGTGCACATGTAATGGTTTGACCCCTGCCCTGCCCTGAGCTGAAAGTGAGTCCAACTCCATTGTGGTATGAAACATCATTATAACTGTACCAAAGATGCTGTGCTGAATGATGAGGCTGGCTAGGGTGATAACTGGTCTTTATTGTTGGTGAAAGATTCTGACATCAGACACAATGAAACACAGATTACATAACCAGTTGTCAAAATATACCACAATATTTGATCTTGAACTGATCAGCATATCAAACAGTAATAACACTACAGATGATACAGCTTAACATTAAGTATCAAATCTGCTAACACATTATATACGAATACAAAACTTTTCACCAAAACTGAAACATGACTTTCCAAACCCATAGAAGTAGTACAGAGTTGACACATTTATTATATGCATATCTACAAAGAAGTCCCAGTCGCTTTTTGGCAAAATTTGCTGCTCGGTGATTGAGGAGAGAATGACTCCTTGATGAATGTGTCTATGAAAACTTGAGGTAAGTTTTTTGTAGCGATCATCATAGTGAATTGTTACCCTTGTCATGTTTGGAGACAACATCATGGCTTTTTATTTGCTCTGGCTGAAATAAATTATGTGAGAATGTCAGTCAAGTTTGATTACCTGCAGCCTGTAATGGCACAATAGCCTCTGCCTTAAGGCTCATTTATACTCAGTGTTAGCTACATATACAAATAAAGATGAAGCCTTCTCGCTGTACTCTGCGTTCTCCGTATTTGTGCACTTTTTCTGAAAGCTTACTGACTGGTCTCAGTCCCAGGGCCTCAAAATACGCCGCCTGGGAAGTGTCCCTGGCGTCATTTTATTAATGCCAGTGAGTCAAATCATGTGACTTAGCCTATTGTTATGTATTTGTTTATTAGAACAAGATGTTTTCTTTTCTCATTGTATTCTAATCTCAAAATGCTCCAAAAGGTTTCATTAGATTTGTGTATTAAAATCACTAAAGATTTTCTTCCAGGCAAGGATTCCCCCAGACCCCCTACCTGATTTTTGTTTGCAGAGTTTGCAGGTCTGTATATTTTCATACCAATTTCTAATTTTCATATATTAGAAAATAGGACATTGTGGTTACCTGGTATGTGTGGTATACAGTAATTTCAGTAAAAACATTAAATTGGGAGCAGTCTCGCAGTTTTAATTTTTTTTTTTTTTTGCTGAGGTTATTGTCTTAATATAGTTGCATTTCTACATGAAAAACATGGAAGTAAGGTTTTACTTTGGCAAATTTACATTTATGAATGTGAAACTTAGCAAATGATGAGAATAATGAGACTGATTAGAAAATACTAAATAATAAAAAAAAAAATGAAAATGAAAAAAACTATGAAAAATCAGATTTTTTTTTTAACAATCAGAACAACACAAATAATCTCATATCATGGTAAATATAAATCAGGTGACATAACTAAAATGTACAATGACAAGAACAAAACAAAACAAAAAATGCCCTGAAAACCCTGTGAAGTTATGGTGTGTTCAAACTATGAGCGACACCGCAACAGTGTGACAGCTAGCTACATTATCCATCACTGAAGTGTTGCCCAAGTGCTGGTTAATGTATTTGTCATCACAGGTTTGTGTGTGTCTGCTACCTCCCACAAAGCACCTCAAACAACTGTCATCTACAGTTTGTATATGGTAATAAAAATCGAGATCAGTGTCTGAGCCCCATTTTAACATCACATTTTGATGATCCCCCAGTGCATCTCTGTGAGCAACACAATGCACATAGAGCTAGCTTAGCATAAAGTCATCTAACTAAACCAATAACAAAAACACATGACTGCTGACGCTTTACTGTGTCATTAGAGTGCTGAAAAAAGCTGAGCCCAGCTCAACTTTTATTTGTCATGCCCGTCAGCAGCGACAAGTATCAGGCTTTTGTCAGTTTGTCATGTCTTGTCATTGGTTGTCGTGTCGCTCATAGTGTGAACACAGCATTAAAGATAAACCCTTAAGTCCCGAGATAGAATATCCAGATGCAATTTAATATCAAAGTACAATACATAGTCCAAACTCTCCACCAGAATATAATCAGATAATTTGACCAAAAACAGATAAACAGAAGTCCATGAAAAATGGTGGTCATAAACATTTAACCATCTTTCACCACAGCCAATTGTGATCTGTAAGATAACAAGAAAGAGGGCCTAATATGTTTTAATTTACTAATGTATATTGAACAGTGGGAGTAAATAACCTATTAGAGCAGTGAACAAGTGTTTTGAGTGCCTGAACCATAAAAAAATGCTGATTTTGTTTTTTTTTCTTCTTTTTGTTGTTACTAATGAACATTTTGCAACTTAAAACATTAAAAAGGTTTCCTTAGTGTGGTGAACAACAAGACTGACAGTGTGCACCAATACCCATACCACCATGCTATATATCATGACAGAAAAAGGTTTAGTATGTCCCAATACATAGTATGCCAAATGCAGCATGCCAAAAATACCAGGACGTCCTACTATTGATGTCCAGTTGCATATTGCAGTTTGCAAGCCAGCATACTTTTCTGGCTATTCTGACCCACAGTCCTCTGCGCAGTGCTAGATATGTCACATCGACTGAGCCGCAAACAGATGAAAGCTTGACAGCTCGTTCACAGGTGACAGAAGCCAAAATGAAGGATGACAGCTCAATCAAGTATCCGATGACCAGTTGAATATTAATAATAGAAATATTAATTGTTTAAATGAACAAAATAATTATAAAGATTATCAACAACTAAAGGACGTAAGTGAAAAAAAAAGTAATTTTTCCATGTAATTTTACTGTTGTGAATGTAAAATGACAGAATCTGCCGTGTACCTAATTTGTAAGGGCAGCTGCAGTACTTACTGAAAGTAAAAAGAAAAAGTATGTGATTCGTACTGCAGCCTAAGAGTCTCCAGCCATCTTAGCTGCTAAATGCTAATATTGGCACACTAACATGCTCATAATGACAATGACAAATGCTGATGTTTAGCAGGCAGCTATTCTGTTTACCATCTCCACCATCTTAGTTAAGCAGTAAACACAAAGCACAGTTAAGGCTGATGAGAATGCCATAAGTTCTGCAGGTATATTGTTATAAACCAATGTATTAAACACATTAAAATGTTGACCTGATGATGACTCTAGAGGAGAAGTCAGAGAATCATCAAAGTTATTAGAATTCATCCAAAGGGGAACATGAATGTCTGAACCACATTTCATTACAGTCCATTCAATAGTTGTTGAGATATTTCAGTCTGGAGCAAAGTGGTGGACAGATACTATCAGCCATAGTAGTTATACCAAAGATAAGTGACAGACAGTGCTCTTGGAGGAAAGACACAAAAATAATATTTATCGGTCAAGAAATAGGCCTATCACAACTCTGTTACATCAGCTGTTACAATGTTTAGCCCCATGCTAACATTTGCACTTGCTAAATTTAGTTTTATCACTAACTTAAAACAGCTTGCAGGTCACAAACAAGTTGTTAGTTGTGATTAAATATTTACTGACATAACCTTAGAGTAAAAGAATTAATATGGTCGACACATCTGACTTGAAACTTGATAAAATTTTAAATTAAGGTTAAGTTACAGTTCCTAAAATAACACAATAAACCTCATATTATGAAACATAATGCTAATAACATTTGATTAAAAATGTTAATAGTCATTTCCCTCTCATTATAAACTGTATGAATGACTCTGAGATTTATGTGTGAGCCTCTACACCAGGCGTTTTGGGCAGTTATGCTAGCTTGTGATAGTTAATCGTCATAGTTAATTGCTCAGGGTTGGACAGCACTGCAAATGTTTCCTAGCAGTAGTTTGACAAACCCATTCTCATTCTGAACTCGTCAAATCAGTTGCTTTGTAAGTGACCTGGGTGCTGGGAGGGGAGGTGTTTAGGTCCAACAAACCTCAGACTTTCACCCGGGGTGAATGTTGGCCAAACCATGATGTTTTTTCCAAACGTAAAATGTGCTGATGTTGCACAAGGAATTAGACATAAATACAAGGTGTTTTACAGACGCTGTAAGTTTATTTTTAAAAAGACTGCACGCATCTAACAAGCAGACACTGTACATTTCCTGTAACAAGAGTGTATTTTGAAAAGACACAATGCATGTCAATTGACACGTTGTTCCGAAACATCAACAAGAGATGCAGAAGGATACCTAGGGCGTCATATGTAGACCTAAAAGTCCACCGATAAAGCAGCGATATTTGACGAGTTGGGATGAGAACGAGCTGGTTTGACACATCACTGAAGTCTTTACTGGCTTTAGTTTTAATAGTGAAACCTGATTTAGTAAATCCCTAGTTTAAAAGTAGTCACTGAGAACTTTAAGGACTTTGTGTTCAGGGAAGAATTTATTAACAGCTGCTGCAACAGAGTCATGGTTTCTGTTAAGGAAAACCTTTAAGTGGTGTAAATGACTTAATGATATATCAGTGTGTGCATTTATTTTTTCCCTTATCTTTAGACTAATATTGATTTGAATAGCCAAATAACCAGCTCCATTATGCTGCGCTCAAATGGAATCAGGAAGACTGTATACAGCAAAGTGGATATCATTTTAGTGGATGAGAGCAGGATGGTAAAATTAGATGAGGTCAGCAGAGAATATCAGCAATGGTAACGGCAGATGGTTTTGCCGTCAAAGTTTTTGAACTTTCTGCTATCCTCCGCAATGGAATTTACAATTGGATGTTACATAGCTGCTTTACACAGGGAGAAAACATTTGCGACCTGGACAATTACTGGACATAACTACAAAAATTACATAAAGTAATGAACATAAAATAGTTTTATTTAATATAATTTGTCCAGTTCTTTATAAAAAATAAAGCATTACCATTGCAACATGTTGTCATGTGTTTTTTGTTTTGCCTTTCTGCCATTCCGAACTGTTTGTTTTTCCCGTGCCGTACAGATGGTGTTTTCTGTCTGCCTGATTCCATGTGAACGCAGCATTAGGTCATTTGCCAGACTGATATAAATGCATAAACACATGAAATCATGTTATTTATAGCCTCTGACTTTGGCCTATACCTGCTCATAAGAACAGTGAAAATTCATTGCATAACACATCTTTTAGCCTTAATGCGTTCAACCGTAACTATCCCTACACCCCCCATTACACCCCCCACTGCAGCTCCTGCTGCAGCTCCTGCTGTGGTTGCTAACCCAGCCCCAGCAAAGTATGATATTGCTCCTCCAACACCTGCTCCAGCCAAAGCAGAGCCACCAACAGAGAGCGAGATTTTCTTCCTAACATCAGGACCGTTTGCTTCTTTTTGAGCATCTTGGAACATTTTAGTGGTGTAAAAGTTTCCTTTATTTTCCTGAACCATGTAGTTGATCTTCTTCAGAAGCTCGGTGACTTGTGATGGACTGTGGTCTTCATTTTCAATAACATGACATCCCCCTTTACACTCTTCAACAAAGTTTTTAAGATTACCCTCGCCAATGAATTCTTCTATGGTTCTTGTAGCTCTCTGTAGTTCATTTCCATGGGTGAACAAAACCATACTGTAATCTACCATATTTTCACCAAAGGTCTTCTTAATGATCTTCACCATGTCCTGTCCTTCATCTGTAAATGTTTCCAATTCCATGACAAACAGGAACACATGGGGACCAGGCTCAGCCAGTGAGACACATTGCTTAATCTCTGCCATCACCTCCTCATCTTCTTTTTCTGCATGACACAGACCTGGAGTGTCGACAACAACCACGTTTTGTCGTCCGACCTTTACTTCTTCCCTCTGACATTTCTGTGTGTAAGGGATCAACAATGTTTGACCTTTAGAGGCAAGTTCCTCATCTTCCTCTGGGTACCTCAGGAGGGCGTTCATGACTGAAGTCTTCCCCGCTTGAACCTTCCCAACAAGTACAATCCTCAGCTGCTCTGCTGGAGAACATTACACAGACATCAGTGGTGGGTGCAGCAATTTTACTGAAGTAAAAGTACAAAAGTATTTCAATCAAAATATACTTAAAATACCAACAGGAAAAGTACTCATTATGCAAAAATGGCCTATTTCAGGATAATAGAATGTAATATAATGTAATATTATTGGATTTTAACTGATGCATTGATGTGTTCATCACTTTAATGTTGCAGTTGGCAAAGATGGACCTTATTTTACTTCATATACTGCTGGGTAGATTGTGTGTTGTGTTTTATCTTAAAGGGACAGTTTGCCCCCAAATCAAAAATATATCTTTTTCCTCTTACCTCTAGTGCTATTTATCAGTCTAGATTGTTTTGGTGTGACTTAGCAAGTGTTGGAGATATTGGCCATAGAGATGTCTGCCTTCTATCCGACCTCAACACTTAAGAGGCACATGACAAGACGAGAGTCAGCCTTCAATGTCCACGTTCGTATCCTTAAAAAAAAAGTTGGGTTTAAACCGGGTTAAGGCTCAGAAAATAGACATTGCTGTTGGAAAAAAAAAAAAATTCTCTCTCTTTTTTTTTTTTATTTTTGGCACTTTGAACACCACAAGCTGTCATGTTCCACTGTTTGTTAAGTATTTTATTTTCTCCCTCATGTTTCATGTCTTGTCTTCCTGTTTTATTTTGTGATCACTCACCGCTGTCTCTGTTCCAGGTTCCTGTCTGCCCTGCCCCCTCCCCATCTGTGTGCACCTGATCCCTTATTATGTCTCCCGCACCTGTGTCTAATCACTCCCGATCAGCCCTGCATATATTCCCTTGTGTGTCTTGTCTCGTTGCCAGTTCGTCGATGCTCTCTGCTCACGTTCCAGCGTTTTTCCTCAGTCATAGTCATAGTCATAGTGTGTTCCTTGCCTGTTTTTTGACCTTGCCTTTTTGCCTCACGTCTTGGATACCTCTGCCTGGTTTGTACAGCTTCCTTGTGTATATACCGCTGCCTGGAATAAACCTTGTTTTACTGTGTTTAACCGGTCTGAGTCGTGCATTTGAGCCCTGCCTTTTCTGTGCCAAAGTTCATGACACTAGCTGAGTGCCATCTAGTTTCATATACAGGCGTGATGGAAGACATCTCTACGGCTGATATCTCCAACACTAGGCAACACACACAAAAACAATCTTGACTGACAAATAGCATCACAGGTAAGAGGAAAAATGTGTATTTTTGGGAATGAACTGTCACTTCAGCCTGTAATAATCCATTTGTTGATTATATTTGTATTATTAATACAAAGTAACTAAAATTTACTAAATTTACTAAAAAACATCAACTACTATAATTATGCAGACGACACCCAAATTTACTTTGCTCTGTCACCAAGCAAACACAGTCCCATACATTCTCTCTGCAAGGGCATAAAAGACTGAATGTGCTGAACTTTCTCCAGATAAATGTAGACAAAACTATCATTGGTGCAAAATAAGAAAGGCTGAGAGTTAGCACTCATCTTAACTCTGTCTGTAAAAAACAAAGTCCAAGTCAGAAATCTTGGATTCAGAGTTTAATTTGAATAATCTATCTTATAATTCCAGCAGGTTAGATTTCTTTGAAGGATTTCTTTCAGACACCCCCCCCACACACACACACACAACTTAAACATTAATCGCAGCAGTTCTTAGGTGTCTTTCAGTGTGTCACAAAATACAGAATAATTTTTTGAAAATATACAATAATTTAGTTGAGACTGACTGTCATCTAAATTATTCTGAGAATATGCCGGTATGTTTATGAATTGTCACACATACTCTATGGAATCTGTTGAGCATCTACAGAAAAAGCAGAACAGTTAAATTGTACCAACCAATAAGTTGTTTAAATCTTACATATACTTTATAAACTAAATGAAGGCGGACTATCCAAATAAAGAGTTACCCAAGGTTTTTGCCATATCTGGTTATTTTTGAAATATTTTGTTTTTCTCCAGAATTCCTTGATTTGTCAAAAAGCCAATACACAAGTCAAGAATTAGGCAAAACATTAATTAGTTGTGATGTCAAGTAATCAAGACAAGCAAAAATATTCAGAAAGTGAACACATGCTGTTTAAGAAGTTATCACAGCAAAATGCTAATTTTGATGTATAAACATGTATTATTACTAATATTGCTGTTATTGTTGTTTATGTACAATACAGTAAATGGGGTGTGTACAGACTGCAAAAATGACAAAATCTGAAATCTCATGTTTTAAGATAACTGACTAGATATTCAGTCAAATTAATAGAAATGAAGTGTTATAACAAATTGGGAGCTGGCAACCACCATGCATCATGGATATAACTGATGAGCTGCTTTATATTTAAGAAAATCATAATTGTGCCCAAACCCAAACACTATGCAGAGTATTAGTACTGCTCAGGATTTACTTACCAGGCAGTAGATTATCTTCACTGGCCATCTCTTTCTTGAAGGAGTAGCTGATCTTTAATGTCTTGTCACTGTGGATGTCTTGTTCTGAGTATTTTAATTTCCATCTCATCATTATATTGTAGCCTGCCTCTAGTTCCCTCCCCTGAAACATGCATCACCTGTTCCCAGCCTAAATCTGACCATTCACAGATCAGAAATACAAATGTAGTTGCAAGCAACCAATCAGGAGGCTGTGCAGAAGTATATTGGGTAGAGTACACTTCCACAGAGGACTATTTACCTAGAGAAATTTGTCATATACATGGACCTGCAGTCTGGAGTATTATTGTCCTGTTCAACAGTAATGATTGATGAATCCCAGAATACCAGAAACATAGGAATGCAATCTAATACTGAAGCCCTGCAGTAAATCCTGCCTTTGTGAAATTCATCTTATTCAGTGTATTCATTTTAATGTAATTTTGTTAGAATGTAAAAACAAGATCAGACATCACAATTACCTGAAAAAAACACCTATAAAGTTAGACAAACAAACCAATCATACAAACAGAAAAACACAACCGGAGAATTAAGTGATAATATTTCTTCTATTTTACATCATGTATTTTTAGTTTTTCTGTTTCTGCAGATTTATAATCCATATTACAATTAATCAAACTAACAATTCATTAGTCCACATAATGATGACATGTTGACATACTGTAAAACTTTAAATTGTAAAACAATTAATAGCCCGAACTATTATTTGCTTAAATCACAGAAATCAACAGGCCTATATTTAGGACAGGCCTTTAATTCCGTTCACACAAAACTGTTGCTCAGCAAAGATCAGCAAATACAACCAAATTGTTTACTTAAAACAGTATTAACATTTATTGTTTAAAGATTAGGCTTCAGATTATATAGCAATTATGAATGATTCATTAGATCTAGCTCGATCAGACAGCGAATCAAAGAGAGAGAGCTATGGCACTTGAGGATTACCACACCAGGCATACAGACTTCTTATCATTGTTATTATCATAACTTGGAATGATATTTATGAAAAACTCTTTTGATTCTTTTGATCTGAGGAACCCTATAGACTAAAGGAATATGAATAGAGGAGTTGAGGAATGGACACATAATATAAAGGTAGCCCACGCTCCCACTCTAGACAATTCTTGTAATTCCAGCGGATATGCAGCAGCACAGTTTAGAAACTCTCAAACTAATCAAAGTACACACCTTGTCTATTTTTGACGGCGCCATGGCAGGTTGCCGAGAGCAAAAAGACATGCAGTACGATTTAGCAGAGTCTGGAGTGGTGGTGCACTGTTCTGTACTGTGCAGGGACAGCTGCACAAATATGACCTTCATGGAAGAGTCATCAGAAGAAAACCTTGTGTCCTCACGACAAAATGCAGCATCAGAAGTTTGTAAAGGAACATCTAAACAAGCCTGGTGTTTTTTGAAAAGAAAAAAAAAACAACTCCTGTGGGCTGATGAGGTTAAAATAGAACTTTTTGGAAGAAATTACCAAAGTTGTGTTTGGAGAGAGAAAAGGGTGTAGAATATCATGAAAATAACACCTGTCCAACTGTTAAACATGGGGGTTGACCGATCATGCTTTGGGCTTGTGTTGCAGCCAGTAGCACAGGGAACATTTCACAGGTAGTGGGAATATGGTTTCATTTAAAGCCTTTGGAAACACAGCTTGAAATAGTAAAAATGCATATATTATAGCAAAGTCGAGTGTCTCATTAATCATCCACAAAAGTCTGAGTGAAAATAACCATTAATAACTATTAGAAAACCAGCAGCTCATTTTGCTGTTTAGACCACTTGCCAGGACAGAGTGGGCGTGGCAGATAACGCTCTGATTGACAGCTCCCTCGTTTTCGTCCAGCCGTACATGTTTGAGCCCTCTGATGATTCAGAGCATGAAGCAGAAGCCCTGCCAGCTGAAAATGATTCCTTTCAGGTGGTCACTGAATGGTAAATTTCAAAATGTTTTGTGATTCATATTAATTAGGCTGACCAAACGTCCTCTTTTGCCCGGACATGTCCACTTTTCACGTCCTGTCCGGGGGGTTTTATAAACTGATGATAATGTCCGGTTTTCCTTTTCTGTGTGTGTGTGTGTGTGTGTGTGTGTGTGTGTGTGTGTGTGTGTTAGAGTGCGGCACGGGCTGCATATTTCTGTCCGAACCCGAACCGAGCCCAACATTATTTAATGACCACAGCACTGAGTTTGTGTCACACAGTGGTTACAGGCTATTTAACAGGCCGGGCGTGCGCCGTGGGTGCTCAGCGGAGAGGGAGACCTCCGTGTTTGAGAAGGGAGCGGGAGGCGGGAGGTCCGACGCTTCTAGCGAGAGGAGAGGGAGAAATAAAACAAAATAAGATAAAATAGGAAAAACCTGTCTCCCTCTTTTATTTTATATTCAGCGTTTAATCAAGGCGGAGGCGGACGGCTGGAGGTCCGAGACTTCCAGAGAGGGGAGAGGGAGAAACAAACAGCCAATGTGTGTCTGTGTGTGTTATGTTCAGGTGTTGTCACGTAAATAACAGTGCCCAAGCAATAAACAGGACAGACAATAGGATTTTATTAACTTTTACACTACATTTTCACTGAAAGCTGACCGAATCCGACCCGAGCACGAATACAATTTATAGCTACATTTTTGACCAAACCCGGCTTGACCTGTCGGGTACCATCGGGTTCGGATCGCCACACTCTAGTGTGTGTATGTGTCCCCTATTGGGGCCTATCTGAATTTCTGTCTTTGAGAGATATTATTTTGTGATATAACTGAATTTTCTATCCATACATATAAATTTTATATATATAAAAATTATAAGGCATCTTTGAGTAAACTGTGAGTATCATTTAAGTAGGCTATGTCGTGGCCGGCCGAGTGTCCTCTTTTTTGGAAATCAAAATATGGTCACCCTATATTAATGTTACTTTGTAGAATAGTTAGCATAACTTTTACATGCAATGTTACGGCCAGGCTCCACCGGCTGCAAACGTACAGCGTAGCGCCGCGGCGTATTCATTTGGGCTCCACTGACTGTGTACGGAAGCGACACGTAGAGAAGCCAGCGGGGTTGTTTACCGTTTGCTGAGCCGAGAGGCTGCATGTAGGCTGCATGAAATGTTAAAGCATTTTCCACCTAAGTTATTACATATATTTGAGTTATCTACAAGTTTACTGTACTGTTTGTCATCTACTCGCTTTCAAATGTCCGCCACGGACACAGTGTCACGGATAAACAATAGAAGAGCCACGTAAAATAGAGAGTTGTTGCACCGCTCTCGTTGCCGGCGGAGCTGCTGTAATTGATTAACAGGGGGGCGAGCTGCTACGGGACTCGCGCTGCAGACATGCCCGGTTGAGCCCGACCGTTAGCTGAGATAAATGACAACGGGAGGCTAGCGCTTTGCCTTTCTTCGTTGAGATATACGTTTTCATTGAAAACATAAATCTGCTCCGTTTTTCTGATAATAGCCTTTTTCATTCAAACACATCCAGTCTTAATAGATTAAATATGTCCTTACTCTGACACACACACCGACCCTCAAAGCGAGAGAGACCAGTGCCGGCCGGCTGTCTCTCTGCCGTTGTGTAGAAGTAGGCCTATTTGCCCGCCTCAAATAATGTTCCCCTCCGGCTAAAATTGTGCTGTTTCCCGCAGCATCACCTCCACGATTGGGGATATGTTTATGCGTAGCAAAGCTAACTGCTTGGGGTTGGAGTTAGGGGTGAGGAAGGGTGCACATTACGTCCCCTCCCCACCAGCCGACACCGGCACCGGGCCCGGGGGGCAAGCCCGGCCTCTCACAAGCCGCCTCTTCCTGCAGTTCCACGAGCTGCAAAGGCTCGGATTGTCCGGGCTCTGGAGTCGGTCAACCTGATTCGAGTGCTGCTGGGAGCCCGCCGGAGGCAGAGCCTCCGCTGGGTCGCAGCCGAGCGGTTCAGCCAGTTTACGATCTGTATTTTCTAAACATCAGACTAGAAAGAGGAGTTGGCTCAGACTCAAAGAGGCAGATTTAGCTGGAGTAGAAGGTTTTGTTGCGCTGCCACTGGGGGGCGGGATGAGACAACTGACTGATGATTTATGATTGGTTTGGAATTTATTGCGTAATAAATCTCAGAGATAACCATGGCCAAATCAAACCCAATTTCAAGAATGTACAAAAACTTAAAAGACAGATATTTCGAATTTGGATGGAAACAGATTTCTAATTGTTTTACATGTTTAATATTATGTACATAAGACCCTAAATTACATAGTTAGAAGGCTATTGTGGATTTGGGTTTCCAGAGGCTTTAAATTCCAGCAAATTCTGGAAGCAACCATCACATCATCTGTAAAAAAAAAAAAAAAAGGCTGAAGATGAAGAGAGGATGGCTTCTACAACAGGACAATGATCATAAACACACCTCGAAATCCACTATGGACTACCTCAAAAGGAGCAAGCTGAAGGTTTTGCCATGGCCCTCATAGTCCCCTGACATAAAAATCATTATGTCACCTCAAAAGAGCAGTGTGTACAAGATGGCCCAAGAATCTCACAGAGCTAGAAGTCTTTTGTAGGCTGTAAGTGTTTCGAAGCTGTGACACTTGCCAAGGGGGGCGCTACTAAGTACTGACCATGCAGGGTGCCCAAACTTTTGCTTCAGGCCCTTTTCCTTTTTTGTTATTTTTAAACTGTAATTACAAAAAAAAAGTAATCTTACTGAAAATATTAAAGAAGTGTGTCGCTATTCACAGTAAACAACATTTTGACCAGAGGTGCCCAAACTTTTGCATGTCACTGTATGAGCAGCAGGAGCGATATCTGTCCTCTAGTGTGACTGCTTCATCTACGTTAAGTGATCAGCAAAGATACTGCCACTGACTACTGCCTGAGTGTGGGCAAAGAGTAGCCAGCAGGCTTAAGGGCATAGTTTTTAAAATTTTATTTGAAAATGCCAATCCTGTAATGAGTCAACAACCTCCCTACTGAACCACAGTCAACCAAAAAGTTACTTAAAATTTGATCTGAAGACCAAGACTAAACTGAAACTGGAAGACGGTACCACAGGAGAGGAACTGAAGGCTGTGGTACTAGGAACTCTCTGAGATATTATGGTGTCTGACCAGAAGAGCTTTGTAGGTGAAGAGGAGGATTTTAAATTTAAATCTGGATTCTACAGGGAGCCAGTGCATGGAAACTTATATGACAGAAATATGATCTTTTTTCCTAGTTGCTGTCAGTGCACTGACAATTTCAAGTTTCTACAACTTGAAATTGTTGGGTCAAACAACAATTTCTCTCTTGGGTCAGATTAGCTTAACTTTTCTGCTAGTCAAGCTATGAAGTCAGCTTAACTCTTTGCAGTTGTTGGTCCTGGTTATTGTTTTTCTCTGAAAGCAAGTAGGCCTGACATAATACAACACATGCTGCGGCACTCTGGATCAACTGTGGAGTCTTTAGAGACTTATTGGAGCAGCCTGATAAATGAAGCAGTGTCACATATGATTAAACTCTGACATTCCATCTCAAAATGAAACTTTTTTTTGCTGTAAGTATAATTATTCAGCTGTAGATATACACAGGTTAGTGAACCTAAATATAATTTGATGTCATAAATTGTATGTGTTGTACAATAATGGACATCATACAGATAGATTAGGCATATTTCAATTTATTCATATGATGCAAACATACAGTATATAGAAAAGCAAGGACTTGAAGTGGTTAAAAGAGGGCTCTTTTTAATTCAGCTCATCAAAATCAAACCAGTACAGCAAATCCCACATGTCGAATAAAAACCAATATATGAGAAAGTGAACAATGATGCAATATAATTGTTTGGATAATAAAAAGATAAAATAATGCCAACCTTTTTTACTGAAGTGTTATACAAGGATATAACACATATGCATGTGCAAAAAAAAAGCAATTAAAGAGTTTCAACACAAGTGCAGTTTACTACAGGATATAATTACAGAAGACAAAAGTCAGAAGTCAGATTAATCTCAGAATATCTGAAATGTCTTTACACAGTTAAACAGACCCAGCATAAACAGTTTTTCCCTTAAAAACTAAATAAATATTTAACTTAATATCGAGTACAGTCACTCAAAACTGTTGAAAACTCCCCTACATAAACCTTTTTATGGAGGGGGAGGGTAGTAGTAGTAGTAGTTCAGAAAGAAAAGTTCAGCCCACTCCCACAGTACAAACAATAATTTTATACTTTGAAAACAAATTGCAGTTGATACATGGCGCATCCACACTGTTGCAAACACCAGCTATATGAACACGTGTTTGGTGTGTTCCAGGTTCTTTGGAAAAGGCAGGTGCTGGCATGAAGCCATTTGAAGCTCCAGACCATAAGCCATTCTTTTTGCCATTCTACACGCTCTGAGGCAACAATACATTTGGCAGTATGAGAGTTCTGAAACTGTCCCCATTAAGCGGCTCTTTCACACATGCAGTTTAATTCATTAAATGATTTATTATTGTCTTTTAGTTCAGGTCAAGTTCATGCTCACACTGACTTTTTACACATTAACCAAAGGGAGTAAACATAGAGTCATATAGACATATGTCAGGTTGATGTTTTGAGGTGATGTCATATTCATCAGTCCATCATAAGGATACCCGTGAGGTCAATCTGCACTACACCCTCAAATTTTGCTACAGCTGTTGTATTAGTTTTTAGGAAGGTGTACCTAACAAACTGGCAAATGAGTCTATAGTAATGGCAGCTTAACAAAAAACTCTAAACTTATGTAGTTTCAATTGACTAACTGTACCTGAAATATTTTTTTTAGTTTCTGATACTTTCTTGAGAAGATAAGATGTTCCCTTGTGTGTGGCTGTTAGATAATGCTCCATGTATCAACTGTCCACAAATCATCAATACAGCAGAGTCTACACATTTAGTGCATTTTGAATAAAGTGTAATGTTTAAGATGTTCTCTGTAAAAGAAAAGAGAAAAGAAAAGAAAAAGGAAAAGAAAAAAGAACAAAAGCATGATACATTTACACCCTTTCGTCATTATCATTTCCCTGTGTCATATGTTTTTTAGTGCTGGTTTGATGAGCTCTGACTCACTTTTTTGAAAGCCTCAGGTGGCATCCATTCATACGCAATATTTTCCACTGTTTTAAGGAAACCGCTCACAACCATATTTGCAGTTGAACCTTGTCCCAGCACTTTGTCTAGACCCTTAGAGATTAAGCTCTCCCAACATACTGCCGATTTTCCATCATCACATTGCTTTACTTCGATTGCTCTCTTAGCCTCTTCAAGCAATTCATTTCTGTAGTAGCTTCCTCCATTTTTTTGGATTATGTTGTTGATCTTCACCAGTAGGCCGGTAACTTGAGACTCATTCTCAGGTTCGTTGTTGTTGAAGACATGGTACACTGCACAAGACTCGCTGATGAACTTTTTGAGACTTTCATTTTTTTCAATGAAAGCGCCAACCTCGCGTCCTGGCTCACCATGGGTGAACAAGACGATGGTATGATGTTCTGCATCTTTGAAGACTTTCTTGAAGCGTTCCAGCATTTCTTTGTCTTCTTTTCTGAAGGTACCTAGCTTAAGCACCAACAGGAACACATGAGGACCGGGTGAAATCAGTGTGGTGCAATCTAAGATCTCATTCATCACCTCTTCACGATCTTTGTAGGTGTGAAACAGACCTGGAGTATCAACAACAGCCAGAGTTTGTCCATTCACTTTTCTTGTCATGATCTTGCATTTTGCTGTCACAGATGCAGAGGACAGTTTAGTAGTAAAACTGTGGCTCTGTAGGATGGTGTTTCCTGATGCACTCTTCCCAACTCCAGTCTTTCCCAAGAGCACAATCCTCACCACGGATTCCTCTGACTCTGTTGGAAAATTTTAAACAGATATGATTTATGTTATAGAAAGTTGTATTAGTCATGACCACAAACACACACAAGTATACACACACACACACACACACACACACGGATATCTGTATATACTGATTCGTGATCTGAACCTTCCATTTTCATAGATAATACAGCTGTATAGTGCACACTTCAAGTACTACAAAGTTATTAAAATCAATACAATGTGCTTGACAATTGAAAAGCTCTGAAATGCATTAAGAAAAAGTTCCCTGCATCCAGGCTGTTCCTTAATGTTTAATTTTTTTAATAGATGAAAAAACAAATTAATGTTCTTCCCCTTGTCGCTGTCTCAAGGGGATTTCTTTCTACCTTAAAGATAGTATTCTCAGCCTTCCCTGAGTTAGCCTATCTGGATGAACTGTATTCCCTTGATTCTTTTTTTTCTCGTTTTTTTTTTTTGTTTTAGTCCTCTGTATAATTTTTGTGCGGATTAGGCAACATTAATATACTGCAGGGTGGTGAAACACCATGCACCATAGATGACAGCAAAGTGCTATAGAAAGGGCTGTATAGGTCATTTTAGCTGACCCCAATTAGGTAAAAAATGCCTTGATCAGCCTTGATACCTGTCTTTGAGATCGGATCAGGACTGAGTGTGTCGATCATTATTTCTTTGTGTTAGGAATATTTTTGGTACTCCTCCCAGTTTTTAAAATAAAAAAGAATGTGGATAAAATCACAAGGTATGAATGCAATATCTGTAAAATATCATAGTGATGTTAAAAATAGTGTTGGGAAGTTTGAGTGTCATGTTGCCTCAGTATAACTGGATCTGAACCCATGATTATGGTGAACTTTTGAGTTTTATGAGTTGTTATGTACCTTTCAAGCCACAGAATTGCAGGGAACACTGACAAGATGTGTAAGTAGGTAGTGGAGGTAAAACAACTTTTGTTTTTTGAACTTTACAAAATATGAAGCTTTAGTTCATATAGAGCTGATAACTTACAAAATGAACAAGTGTTTTACTTTAATTTTTGTGATGATTGGGTTTATGTTTAGTTATTTTCACAGTAAAAAAGCTAATCTAATAACATGTGTGTATGTCTTATCATGACATCAGCAGAAATAAGAAATGACATGAAGATGATGAAAGTATTTATATCAATATTCAAAGCAGCAGCACAACAGACACTAAGGCCTCTAGTTTCACAGACCGGGCGCGGCGGGGGCACAGCGCACCTGTGCTTCGCCAACTGGGTGTGGCCAGGCAGATTTTGCAAGTTTGGCAAACCGTGCGCGCTAGCGCAGCTACTCCTCTTTCCCACCTCCGTCCCTCCTACCTGCGCAAGTCGGAAAGAGGGAGGAGAGAAGGCGTGGAGTGGGTTTTACACACATCACACCAATCAAATGAGCCCCTCTCCTCGCCCTTAAATGTGCCATGCGAAGGCGTAATGAGAGTTTACTCAATTCGCCATGGCAGAAGAGAGCAGCAGCGTCAGACGGCCAAACTTCTCCCAGGAGGAAACTGATGTTTTGGTCCGGGAGGTCCAAGCTCGCAGTGTCCGAATATACGGAACTACTCAGGCTGATGATGCAAAGGTAGCCTGAGAGGAGGTCACCACAATTGTAAATCAATGTTGCGTTTCTCTCGTGCACACACGCTCTCTCTTTCTCTCTCGCAGTCTCACTCTGTTTCTTTTCTTTTGGCTTTTCTAAGATGACAGATGCTGAATATATACTCCCTATCTGATGCTGTGGCTGTTTGTGGTTGGCTGAGAGGGATGTGAACTCATTAGTTTGGAGTTGTGTTAATCAAATCAGGTTGGGTTTCCATTATGCGTGCCAAACGTGCCAAACGGTGCCAATCCCCTTTGATCTGACATCAGATGTGATGGGACAGTCGATATAGAGATACATTTATGTGCTGATTGCAGATAGTTGCATTGAATAGTGTTTTTTGTGGCTATTTATTGCATCGTTAATGTGCCTGACATTCTGGAAACCTGCCTGTGAGGTTTTGGTGACGTGTGCGCACTGTCCGCCGTAGGCTTGTGCCGATTTCCGGTTTGACTGGTTTCGGCCCAGTTTAAGAGCTCTTACCGGTTTAATTCACGTCAACTGTATAAATGGGAGGAGAAAAAAAAAAGAACAAAAAAAAAAGCTTTTCACATCGGCGGCGTGTCAAGGGACTATATTCAACTTATCTTACATTGTAACATGCATTATGACAACTTAATAAGGTTTATGTTTGTTCATAAATGAAGTGGAGGAGACTACAAGTGCTTTGTTTAGTTTTTCTCAGAGGCTTCAGAGGGACTTCGCAGCTCCGCTCTGCTCAGCTGTCTGCTGCTGCTGCGAGAGGTCAAATTTCAATGGGGCGGGGAAAAGTGCGAGGGAGTCAGCAGTCATTCAGTTTGTTGCCCTAGTAACTCGTTTCCACTGAAGAAGTTCCTGGTACTATTTGGGGGGCTGGAACTACTACAGGAACGTCCTCTCACTCGGCCCTCTCAACCACCATGTCTCCACTGAGAGAGCGGAGTCGGAGGAAGGTTCCTTGGTGTCCTTCTGCGTCTTCTTCTTCTTGTGTGTGTAAACTCTCTTTTTATATACTACTTTTAATTATATAGTACTTTTAAACCCATCACAAAAAACAGATTTTATTTATGCCTTTTCATCAGTCTCCCAGTTTCCTCTGCAACCTTTGCCATTAAAAGAGCCATTTTTGACCAACCTAATTTAAAAAAAATCTGTGTGGCTTTGAAAAATATGTTTGAGCCTTATAATCAAGGTAAATAGCCTATTAAGTCTAAATTAGTGTATACTTATGATCTAAATAAGCATTTGTTAATATGTTTTACCACAAGGTGGACACTGTGCAGGTCACTATTAATAATTATCTGGTACTTAAATTTTGTAGAGCTGGCAGTGAGAACAAACAAATCTGTCCACGCACTACTACATTCTCTATTTTATTCAATTTACTTTTTTGGATTTGGCATCCATAGCTAACCAGCCACTGCTATTGAGGTTCAGCAACATTTTGATTCATAGAATGAATTTCCATAGACTTCTTTTCTCAAAGGCTCAAGGAGCCACTGGACAGGGGCTAAAGAGCCACATGTGGCTCCGGAGCCACAGGTTGCCTACCCCTGATGTAGAATGTCACATTTCAGAATAATATATATCATATTATTGTTTTATAATTATTTCTGCATTATTGTATTCACCTTAATGTTGCGGCTGGTAAAGTTGGAGCTCATTTTAATTACTTTATATACTACTGGGCAGGCTATCTATAAAAATACATACATTTTTTAAAGTTTATATTTTGTATCAGTAATCTGTTTCTGCAAGTGACTAAAGTCATCAAAAGTACAATATTTCCCATGAGATGTAGCAGAGTAGAGGTATATAGTAGCACAAAATCAAAATACTCAAGTAAATTACAAGTACCTCAAAATCATACTTAAGTACAGTATCTGACTAAATGTACATTTTTGTGAGTCCTCAAGTTAAAGAAACAATTGAGAGGATATACACACACACTTTAAAATGTAATATAATAGTGCAATTATGCCAAATATGAATATATTGTTAGTTTGAATGTTTCCTGATATGCATATATATATGACAATGATCTTTCTTCTTTCAAAATCTTAATTTGTTAAGAAGCCAAGTAATGCGTAATACAACAAACAAGGACTGTGAAGGAAGTAAAACTACAAAAAATAAACTTAACAACTGCAAAGGACTGTTTAGGTGGTTATAAAAATAAATTAAAGTGGAGACTTAAATATCATGATTGAAAAGAGGTTTCTTTTAAAAATTATTGATGTTAATGATACATGAAAACAGTTGTATTAACTAAAGATTAACATGTTGCTCTGCTGGTTTATCAAACACAAAAGAAAGAGAATTGTATGTGAAATATACTTACCAGACTGAAGAAGTTTGCTGTTCATCTTTGTCTTTTAAAAGCAGTTGATCTGTGATGTCTTGTTGCTGTTGGTGTCTTGCTGTTGAGTAGTTTCATCTTTATATATCATAAAGTCTGTGTAGTTCCCTCCCCTTAAACACATGTCATCTGTTACCTAGCCAGTTTGAGGAAAGACAGCACAGACAGCCAACCAGTCACAGGCCAGAAACCAAAATGTAGCCAAACAAAAGTGTATTTTTATTGGGTTTGTAGTTACTGTTATGTTTAGGTTGTTTTTGTAGCAGATTTTCCATTTTATATGTCACTGTTCCTAGCATGTAGTGATTCACAAGTAGTGTGTGTGCAATGATATTCGATTACCTTCATGTGGAATTTAGCAAGATGCAAAGGAAGCCTTGTTTTGCTGTGTGCAGCAGCCCCTTCCCAAAAATAAGGTTGATAGAAAAATAGGGTAGCCTATCTTGACTTGTCAGCTACTGGTTGAGCTCCCAACACAAATTTCATGGTGTGTCATGGGAGATAAACAGCTGGACATGTCATCAGTTAAGGGTTCACTGTGCTTCAAACTAACCATCTCATGCAAAGTACCAACCAAACATATTAAAAAGCAGTAGTTCGATCCTGCGAGTAACCACGCTCGAAGGGAGGGTGAAAAGCCTGCCGTTATTATGAGGGGCGATGAATTGTACACATGGAGAAAACAGCACACACCTTCAGACAATCTCTCCTCCAAGACATTCATAGTTTGCATTCAGTTGCCCATGTAAAACATAGCTGGTGCTATGGTGGGGCTAGATTGGGTTGTAGCCTCAACAAGAAATTACAAGATGTTTGACATGGAGAAAAAAAACAATCTGTCTGATTTCCTTTATTTGGCTGCTGTTTTCCTCATTCTCTGGTCGATCAGTCCAATCTGACAAGCGCTTTGCATGAAGCATACTGACTCCTTAAGATCAGAGAGTCTACCCATGCAGAAAGAGCCAAAAACCATCAGTTGAAGCTCCCTGAATTTTTGAAATAAGGTTAATCTTATTTGGGTTTGTAGGCTGTTACAGATGTTTCACTCTCAAATGCAAAAACTCTCAATGCCAGTTTAGTCAGAACTGGCATTCTACCCAAGGAAGATGCCAGATTATGGTATTCTAAATGTCAGACTGCATTTGATCAGCTGAGGGCTGCCTTGTTGAGTGCAAATATCCTTAAACCATCTTTATGCAGATGCAAGCTTGGATGAGCTTGCTGCAGTCCTGGTAACAGGTAATTGCATCGGTCATCATCTGACAAAGAGGACTGCCCAATAGAGAATACAACTCAGGTGAGAGTTGCTGTCCCAAATGGATTCTGACTGAAAAATATAATGACTATTTATTGGGGAGTGTCCTTTGTTGCCTTTAGAGACAATGAACCCCTGGTTTATCCACATACAGCACAGCGCTGCCCAGATGTGGGCTGCGAAGCGCAAGAGGTTTACTAAAGTGGCAAATTATCACTTTACCATCAACTGCCAATCTGGGAAAACCAAAAGGAAATGCTAAAAACCTGTCTAGACAAAGGTGTGCACTATCCCATTAGCAATGGCCAGTCCTCAGGACTGTATGTCTGATTTATGAAATCAACAAGTTGATCCAGTACTTTAGATGGTGTGTCAGTGGAAGAATGTGTCACAGCCTCCTCCCTAGATATAAAACACTAAATAGGACATGACTTAATAACTCATCAGATAACCATTCACTATCTTGCTTTGGTATTGTTTAAAATTGCAACCTATGGGCACCAAATATGGTTGTCAGCTGGGGAGCAACTTATTGCCTCACCAAAAGGACTAAAGACAACAGGGAGGCTGGCATCACTTTCAAATAATTTTTGATTCAATAAAAGTCAGAGCCAAACAGTAAAGTCTTCAGCCTTGATTTAAATGAACTGTGAGATGCAGTGGACCTGCAGACCTCAAGACTTAAGTGATGTGATCCACTTTCTTGGTCTTAGTGAGGACCTGAGCTGGCTTGTGCTGAATTAGCTGTAGCTGTCTGATTTTTTGGGGAGACCTACAAAGACATCGTTACAATTGCTGAGTCTACTGAAGATAAATGCATGGACAAATTTTTCCAATCCTGCTGAGACATAAGTCCTTTAATCCTCCATGTATAGATAGCAAGCTCACTTTGTAATTGTTTTAAAGCTATAGTGCGTAACTTCTACAGGTCCGTAAATGTCCGTTTCACCCAAGCCACTATTAGAGGAGATGACACAATGCAGATTAAGCCGATTGGCTCCTCTAACATCTCGTGGTATTTTTCAATATATATCATTTTTAGTTTGCGTGTCGACTGGCGACATTCTCGCGCTGGTGCACAGGAAATGCTTCCTCACAACAAGAAGGGAGGGGGAGGAAGAGCGGAGAGTGTCATAGCAAGAGGTAGAGCGCAGGTAGAAAGAGAAAGCAACACGGCGGAGAAGAAGACACGGTTCAGAAGTGGATCCTACCACAAAGAAAAAGCCTGGACGTTCGGCTGAAGGTCTATTAGCAAAGAAGAAAAGTGACCGACGGAGAAGGCAAACAAGGATTTGTATTGGCGTCGCTTTTCCTCGGTGGAGAGCCCTGAAGGAAGAAATTGGGCTGAGAGCAGACACGGATGTTGCCTTGCTACTGTTGGATAAGTAAGTGACTTGGTTTATAATTATATTATGAGTAGTATGTGTTGCTGTTATGTGTACTGGACCTAGTACTTTATTATTTTCTTGGAAATGGTGCTATGAACGTAATTTAATGTTAGCAGCCTGGTGTTCGCCACATTGTGTAGCATTGTGTACATGGTGTGTAGCGAGTGTTACTCTGTTTACACGGTGTGCGGCGACTGGCGAGTGTTACTCTGTGTACACGGTGTGTGGCGACTGGCGGGTGTTACTCTGTGTACATGGAAGTGCCGCCGGCTTATTAGTTGTAATAACGCATTATCTGCTGGGAGGCAACAGAAGTTACACACTATAGCTTTAATGTGGCTATTAAAATCCCAGTTTGAGTCCATGACGAGATCAAGATTCCTGGCACAGTCCATGGTTTTTAACATTGCCGATTCAAGCTGAGAGTTGACTTTAAAGTGTTCTTCCTTGGCTCCAAAAACAGCTGACCTGGCTAAGTCCAGCTCTCAAACGCGATGAGCCAATCACAGTGCATATAGCCATTCCCATACACTTAGACATTCTCTGCCTGCACATTCATTGAAATGCATTACAGAAAGTCAGTTTTGTTCGGTGTTATGAGGGGGTTGGAGAGCAGAGGTAGAGGGAGGAGTGGCTCATGACACACTTTGTTTTGCTCTACAGGCAGCGCACAACAGCAAACCTAGCAGTGAAACGATTTCGCTTATTGCCCCTTTAAGCTTTTCATCGACCTTCTCAACAATAAAATGATGAATATATCCCTCCAATGCGTAGTTTAGGCCCTTTTGGTTACTTCTCAATAACATCTGATCGTTATGTCCCCAAAAATAATCAATTACCTCCTGCGAAATGCCGTGTAATGTGACACCTACCATAGCACCGGTCACTGAATGTTGATAGATTGTCCAGTGAGTGGAGGGCGTGTGGCTTAGCCATAGGTCAATTACTTCAGTTTTGTCTTTGTTCTATTGGGGGAAAAAAAGACACATCCAATCACTGATTTGTTCAATACACTTGGTGCTTGTATTAGAACATAATCCATTGGTGTGTAAATTTGTGTGTTGTCTGCATAAAAATGGTAATACATTTTGTTGTTTTCCATAATCTGAGGCAGTGAAAGCATGTAGATGTTAAACAGAAGGGACCCCAGAATGAAACCTTGGGAGCTCCGCATGCTGTTTTTTTCAGCTCAGATGTGTAATTATATACACACAAAGTAGTACATTTCCTTTCAGTATGATACACACCAGTTTAGTAGGCTTCTATACAAGAAAGAATCACCCAGTTTTTTAGCCGGTCTAGTAATATGGTGTTGTTAACCGTATCAATAAGCACTGAGATCAAGTATTGCTAGGACTAAAATTCTGCCACTGTCTATGGATGCCATTGTAATCCTTAACAAGAGCAGTCTCAGTGCTGTGGTGTGAACGCAACCTGACTCCATTCAAGTTCAGAGGCTGTACAGATAGAGGAGCTTTAGTTAGCCTGTTGACAGTTAGCAAACAAGGCACATACATTCGTACTGTTCATGGCAATAATGTCAGAGAAGAAGGACCTTGAATTTCTCAGTTCTCAAATTATAAATGCTTTTGTAGTTTTCATTGTAGATGTCATAATGAACCTGGGGTTTTGTTTTTTTCCCACTTGTGTCCAGCTTTACAACACTTTGATTTTCTTATCAGCATGGCATTTCTCCAAGGAGATCTTCTTAATGAGAGACAGCCTTTACCTTAGTGGGTGCAATGGCATCAATACAATTTGTAATTTTAGAATTGGAATGATCTACAAGGTCATAGACTGACCCCCAAAAAGCCGTGGTTGTTAGGGTTGCCACCTTGGATTTGTGAAAAAAAGGGACACTCGACCAAATGTTTGAGGCGAAGGGCTCGGCCATTATTACCAGTTCAGACTGACCAATGAACATGAACATAGGAGATCAGATTTGCCATCATTCCGTGTCCTTCCATGTGCCTTAATTTTTATATCAATGAAAAAAACAAATCTGTGTTACTAAATTCTTACATGTTTACATGTATCTCACCATAGCAAGTTGGAAGTTGACATATTCTGCCATATATGAAGAGGGGAGACTCTCTGGAATCTGGCAATATAAGAACCATGATGCTGGGACAGTCTGTCACTTCACAGTTGTCCAAAACATGTGGTTTGTGCCAGGCGGCCATGATTACCAGTATTTTTTCATTATCGCAAGAAATTCCATTGACTTATTCACAAGTCAAAAATGTGTTTTATCTGAAAGAAACGTGCAATATTTACATCTAAGATCATAGAAAAATAGTCAACCAAGTGCAATGATGTCCTCCAAGATAATATTTGCCACTTTGATTGCAGCAAAAAGAAATTGAGCGGGGGGGGGGGGGTGTTCTTTGTTTCTTTCAGATAA